GGGCCTGGCTGCTCCTCCCTCTTCGCCCACCCCGTACCCATTCACAGCCTCACCACAGCTGTCCCTGGCTGGTGACGCCCACAGGTGTCTCCAGCCTCCCCCGGAAGTCCAAGGGGGCCCACACTGGCCCTGCATCGTCCCCCCTCAACCCGCTCCCCTCCACTGCCTCGAACTCAGCACAGCCCCACGGCCCCGCCAGTGTGGCTCATTCACCTAGGCTGGGCAGGAGGGTGAGACCTCAGGGCGTTTACAAGCCCCAAGCTTGCGTTCTCCTGGCCTCCTTCCTTCCTCACTCGTCATCTTCCCACTGCCCCGCCCCGCCAACGAAATGAAAACACAGCCCACGGGTTACTGCCACCTCTCAACGCTGCTTTGTCCTCTCCCCCCACTCCCTGTACCCTGCCCTGGTTCCCCTTCTGGTCCACCCTGACACAGCAGCACACCTGCTACACCGAGATCTTCCTAAAGTCAAGTCTGACCGTGGCCTTCCCCTAGAACTCTCCATGGTTCCCTAGTGCCCCTGGGCAACTCCCTGGCCCAGCCTTCAGAGCCATCTGTGATCTGGCCCTGCTGATGTGGGCAGTCTCACAAGCCCTCCTGAACTCTAGTTCTACCCAGGTCTTGTTTCCCTGGAAAGGCTAGGCCCATTCTCTGACCTCAAGGTTTTTACACAGGCCTTGACACCTGCTTTTCTCTTCCTGTCTCACTAAGTCATCCTTCAGGTCCAGCTCACACACCGTCTCCTCCAGGGAGTCCACCCTGCCCCCTAGGCCAGGTCAGGTACCTCCTCTGGGCTCCTATAACCGTTTTCCCATCACAGTCCAGGTCACTGTGGCCTAGGCTTCCCATCACAGTCCTACTACAGCCCTGATCTCTCTGGCCTAGGCTCCCCCAACCTCAGCCCCGATCACTGTGGCCTAGGCTCCCCCCACCTCAGCCCCGATCTCTCTGTCCTAGGCTCCCCCCACCTCAGCCCCGATCTCTCTGTCCTAGGCTCCCCCCACCTCAGCCCCGATCTCTCTGTCCTA